CTACTATTAAATCCACAGTAATGTCAGGATGCCTTTGGTGTTGAACTATTTCTTGGTTTAGACTTATTAGAGCTGGTTGCTGCTGATTTCTATTGTATGGATCAATTGCACATGATTCTGGTGGCTATAATATTTAGCACAAAATAGGCGAATAGGTTAACACATTGTTTAGGCTTTGGTTTAGGGATGGTTTTCAATATGTTCACAGAAGGCTGTTCACTGTTGAAAAAGTTTACTCCTGGTATCACCATTTGTGGTCTGCAGGATCCTTTTGCTTGAGTGGATTTATAGAGGTATGATGGTGAATATATCAGCTTCTGATGATAGTGGATATGCTTGTGATTTTTGATATCCCATAAAGTTGTCCCACAGAAATGCACTGGTTTGAAGAAAGCTCAGACTATTTGGTCCACGATTCAGTCAGTAGGTAACAGTTATTTTCCTCACATCACGATGATCGATGAAACAGTATGATCCAACAAAAAATATTATGATTTCAGTAAAAAGTTCAACAATAAACAAAATGACACGATGAAATAACAAGAAGAAAAAGTATGCAAATCTCAAGAAATTTTGTAAACAAACAACACACTCTTTGCCGCCATCTTGTTTTGAAACAGCGCCCCCAACGGTCGATCACCTTGCCAATTGACATAGGTCGAATAGTCTAGGATACTGGGTGATTCTATTATCTAAGGATACGACAGTCTCTCCCACATGATTAGAAAATATACAAATCATCAAAATAGAAGTCGAAAACAATTTTAAGACTTCATGTCGTAGTCAGCAAAACGTGAAGGTAGGCGTCGCTGGCGCTGTGGTCGATCTTGGGGAATATCTGGAAAATGACATCTATTTGGTTCTACTGTTTCAACACACATCTGGTATATTATGTGGCTGTGGCACTGTTGATATCCTTGGTACATCGAATGATTGAGTAGGTCCAAAGGTAACAGTAGGCTTCGGAACCAAACTGAACCTAAGTTGGTCCACATGTTGTTTCAGTTTTTGGATTACGCCGAAATGCCAGACGGTCTTATCATTGATAAAACGTCTGATCTGGACTCTTTCCCCCTCACGAAATGAACGAGGAGCCCTCGAAGATGTCCTAGACTTGTGGAGTTTATACGGAAAAATAGCATCCAAACGAATTCTCAATGTCCTATTGCGGTACAATTCTGCAGGTGATTTACTACAGACAAGTGGAGTAGCTCTGTAGCGAGAGAGAATATCCTGTAGCTTATCCTGGATCGGCCTGTTATCACTAGAAGCAGCCCTCAGCCGATTCTTCAGAGTTCGGATATTTCTTTCAGCGAGATCATTAGTAGCAGGATAGTTTGGAGCAATAAATGTCTGGAAGATTCCTTTCGAAACACAGTATACGTGAAATTCTTTGCTTTGAGAAATGAAAGCGTTGTCTGATTCCATCACTTGTGGATAACCATGCATAGAGAATATATTTTCTGAAAGAGTAGAGAAGATAGTGGATGAACTGGTTGGTGCATCTTTTGAGATTTTCACTTTAGTCCATTCAGATCTGGTATCACGCACATCAGGAAGTAACGGTCTTCGAATGGATCCGCATAATCGATGTGAATCCTTTTCTAATTCATCTCAGGAAGATCCCACGGGTGCACAGGCGCTTTTGGGGGGTTTGATTTTGTCAAGGCACATATTTCGCAGCTTTTGACCATTCGCTCTATATCACGGTCGATGTTTGGCCAAAATACATACCGACGTGCGAGTTGTTTCATCTCAGTCATCCCCAAATGCGAATCATGAAGTTTATCGAGAACATTGATGCGTAGCACGGCTGGAATGACAACTCTGTCTTTTCGAAAAATCATGCCATCAACCAAAGTGAATTCGCTATCTTCTGAAGTTGATTGTAGAGTTCCAAGTATTCATTCCAGGTCTGGATCTTTTCCAGTTCCCATTTTGATTGTAGTCGAAGTAATCTCACTGCTTGGAATATGAAAAACAACTTGATCACAAATTTGATTCACTTCATCACCAATAAATCCATCTGCTGGAACATTCAGTTGCTTCACTGGGGCTCGAGACAAACAGTCAACATTTTGATTTTCTTGCCCTTCCTTGAATTCAACGGAATAATTGAATCCGGACAAAGAAGAAGCATAACGTAGAAGGCGCGATGAAATCATTGTGGCAGGGCTTTGTAAGGATGTAATATTCTCGATAAGGGTTCATTATCAGTGACCAGAAGGAAATGAGTACCGAACAGGTACATGTAGAAGTGAGTGACACCAGAAATTATGGCAAGAACCTCTCTATCCAACTGACTATAGTTCTTCTCTGAGTCTGTGAGTGCACGAGAAGCATAAGCGATGGGTCTCTCGAATCCATTGAATTGATGACTCAACACCGCAGCAACCCCAAATGGGCTAGCATCCGTTGTTAGAACCAGTGGAAGAGATGGATCGAAAAGGCATTAGTACTCGGTCACTACAAAGTTCTGTTTTGATATGCAGGAAAGCAGCTTCATAGTTTGATGACCATACCCAGGGTTGGTTTTTCCTCAGAAAACATCGAAGTGGGTATGAAATCTTTGGAAAATGTGGTATAAACCGAAAGTAATAAGTGAAAAATCCGAGAAATCGTATAATATCATCAGCATTCGAAGGTCGTGGTAAATCCAGAACGGCGCGCATTTTGGCTGGAGACTTGATTATTCTGCTGTATTCAACAATATGACCAAGATAATCAATTTTTTCCATGAAAAATGAACATGTCTTTTTGTTGACGTGAAGATCGTAGTCCCAGAAATGATGATATCTGGGATATATACGAAGGGCTTGTAATGTTACTTGACAGATTTATTGAAAACTAATTATCGTATGTCATGAACTATTGACATATATCGAATAGTCTAGGATACTGGGTGATTCTGATATCTAAGGATACGACAACCCATTGGCTTAGGAAGCTGCTCCAAACTAGGGTCCCTTGATGCAAACTGACGTATTTGTCATCTAACAGGGTACGGACAGATCCTCTTCTCCTCTCACTCTAAAGTGCCCTTTACTTGCTGAAATATTCATGGACAACTTGGAGCGAATAATACATAAACATTCATTGATAAAACAATGTTTGTATTGGTATCCCAGGTAACACGGAGCTCTCCGCGATATCTCTAAGTAGTTATCTTCAGGATCAAAATACGAAATCCTTCTGCGAGGTTTCAAAGATCACTTTAGGCTGTCACCATGGGAAATACTCTCTGGAGTCGTCCGGAAGAAATCGCGGAGATCTCGCCTCAGATTTGATATATTCCTCATCATTGCGAATCCTTGAGGTTATCTATAACATGAAATGAATGAACATTTCTTTCTGCGAGCACCCAAGGATATCCTGGACGTAACAAGATCGAGCATTTCCCATCGCAAGCTCCTAAAGTAATCACAAACATAACCTGAATAATTAATGAATATTCCAACAAAAATATCGAGTTGTCATTTCCAATAGTTTTTATAATTCGAATACTGGGTGGCCCAAGTCATCGTATACAGGCAATATCTCGCCTATTTGTCAGGATATCAAAAGCATTAAAAAACTGCATTAAATGGCATTAAAATAACCTTCCTATAATGTCTTATGGAGTATGTGATATATTTGGCAGCCGCCGGATGGTAGATAATTTTATTTTCAAGTAGCATATTGTCTCTGAAAATTGCCTGTCAATCTATTTGGAATACAGCGATATAGCTCATACTTGGTGTTTTGTTCTAGATAACAACAAAAACATGAACATTTTGTGACTTTTTTACGTTACTCAAATGACAAATTGCTTTCACCCATGTGTTCAAAAAGTTCACAGATAAGAAGTATAGATTGAATTTTTGTTTAAAAAAATCAATGACAGATAATATTTCGTTGAACTGCAGAACATCAATCATTGCAGACGGTACCTATCTATAGTGTAATTATTAATCTAATTTTATTGTGGGACATTTTTACGAACATGGGAGGAGGCAATTTTCAATCGATGTAACGTAAATGAGGTCAAAAAATTTTATTGTTAATGTTGTTATTGATGAACAAAATACAAAGTACCGATGTGCTATCGTTCATTCCCAAAATAGGATGATAGGCAATTTTCAATGACAATATACAGGGAGTCCATTCAATAAAAATTGAGGAGTTGCTACCAGGGGGCTGTCCAATCTAATACACTTTTTTTTGAGTCATAAAGAAAGTTCTTCGATGTCATTTGAAGCATTTTCACTAATTTTTGTTCATCTTGTCGAGTAAACGAGTTTTTGCCGGTACCTATACGATAACTTGGGACACCCAGTATTATCATATATTCTGGAAAGCGATAGAAAAATAATATCTGATCTTATAGGAATGAAATCATAGTAGCAAAATAAAATAGATCCATACCTACACCACATTAATATTTTACTGTTATAAAATTCATTCAATGACCTCCATATTTGTTGGTTAGCCTAAGTTCTAATATTTTCCGTGCTAGATTCCCTATATGTGTGTACATGTGTATATATGCATGTATGTGTGTGTATATATGTATACTTTGGGTTATTATCCATGATATTTTTGTTATTCTCAACTCACCGTACACCTATTCCCACATGTAATTGAAAAATTCAATTTTCCATCTTATTTGAGAGTGAGAGTGAGAGTGAGATCGGCTTTCCGAGAGAAAAGGCATGCTTGTGTTTTGTTTGCATTGAAATCTATCAAGTTATTGTATTTCGCTAGTAAATCGTGAATGAATTGCTGAATGTGCATAATATCTATCATCTTGATAACATTGGCCATCCTCGTGAGTAAAAACAGTAACAATAACATCAGTTTTATTGTCTCACTGAAGCAAACCCCCACGATAAACAAACAAAGATTGACCTTTGGACCTGAAGTTCTTACTAGCGATACAGGTTGAACGAGCAAAATCGGTCAAACGCTGTTGCCAACTGCTGAAATTTTTAAGCAGAAATATCGACTCTGTTAATCGCGGTATGGATGAGGAAACAAAATCGTTGATCAAGTCGATTTATCTCCAAAACAACGAAATAAAACAAGACATCCAAATTATTAGAGGCGATTTACAAGTAGTATCTAAAAAAATCTCCGAATTAGAAAAAAAAGTTGAAATTTTGGAAACTGAAAATGAGGAATTGAAATGCGAAATCGAAACTGAGAGAAGAAAACAAAAAAACAACAATTTAGTTATATTTGGGATTGAAGAAGCAGAAGAAACCGAGACCCTAAAGACTGTCCAGGAAACAATCCAAGAGAAACTGAATATAAAACTGGAAAATGCAGATGTGAATAATACGTTCAGAATTGGGAAGCGAAACACAACTAGAAAAAGGCCAGTGATTCTGGAGTTAGTTCGGAACCTTAAAAAACAAGAAATCTTGAAGAATTGCTTCAAACTAAAAGGAACCGATATCTCAGTAAGCCACGACCTAACTGAATCCGAAAGGAAAGAAAAGAAGGTCTTGTATAAACACTATAGAGAGGCGAAGGAGGAAAAACTAGAGACAACCCTACTGAAGAACAAGCTCATCATCAACGGTGCAACGTATACTTATAAAGACTTTCTTAAGGAACCAAATTCTGAATTGAATATAAAGAATCCTAGAAACTCATCTGAAACCTCATCTAAAAGGAAAAATGCTCTGAGCCCCCAGGAAGGAACTACAAAAAGGTTCACTCGAAGCGTCAGCAAAGAAGAAAAAAATACGCATTGAACAAACATTTAGTTAGTTTACTCTTACAACTGGTTGATAAAAATATTCCTTCTCCAGATTACATTATCTCTCCATTAGAAATAATAGGTTGAATAACTTTCAATATAAATATAAAAATTTTCATTACCAGTTGGTATTTTTCTAGAATGGATCAATTCATACTTGAATATCAGAATGAACCAATTATTACTAACGAAATTAATTGTGTTGAATCTTTCAAACGAATTTTTGGCTCCTCTGATTGCTTCTCAATATTTCATAATAACATAAGAAGTATCTCCAAAAATTTTGATGAATTACAACTTTATTTATCTGAAGTCCAAGACGCGTTTAGCATCATCGCTCTTACCGAAACCTGGAAAGTTAATGATCCGGATTATTTTGATATAAAGGGGTATACAATGATTTGTAACAGTGAGCGGGTCAATCAAAATGATGGAACTATGGTGTATGTTCGTGATAATATCTACGAGAGGCACGAGTTTATAAAAATCGGAGATGTAAATGGTGTTGTAGTTTACATGTCCTACAATAAAGTAAAGATATGTACTGTCGTTGTATATAGACCTCCCTGCACTGAAGTCGAAGATTTCAATACCAACCTACATGCATTTCTACAGACAGAAATGGTCGCAGCCAGTGAATACACCTTTTTCTTGGGAGATATCAACATAAATATTTTAGATCACGAAAACAAAGACGTTGATGAGTACCTGAATATTATGTCAGCTGAGGGATTCAGATCATTGATTAATAACCCAACTCGAGTAACTTCTATGTCGAACTCATGCCTCGATCATATATTTCTCAAAAATAGCACAGATAACACTGAAAATGTTTTCCCAGCCATTGTAAAAACAAACATCACTGACCATTACTCTACTTCATTAATTTTGAATAATCTGAGAATTGAACAAGCTCATAACGACGGCATAGTGTCTTATAATTACTTGGACGAAAGTAAAGTAGTGAAAATAATAAAAACTGAATCGTGGTCCTCCGTTTACAGTGTGAATGATGCGAATTTGGCAACAGATAATTTCATAACTACCCTGAGAGGAGTAATCCAAAAAGCCACTAAAATAAGATTGATAAAACCATTCAAAAAAAGGAAACCATGGATTACTAGAGGTTTGATAACATCAATTGATAAGAGAGATAAACTACATGAAGGATTTTTGAGAGATCCTTTAAATACCGAGAAACAAACATTATATAAAAGATACAAAAACAAACTAACGCTATTGCTCAAAAAAACTAAACATGATTATCTCAAGAACAAAATCGAGGAAAACAAATCATCCTCTAAAAATCTTTGGAAAATTGTGAAAGAATGTTGTACAAAATCGAATCCAATCCATATCAAAAACATTAAATTAGAGAACGGATCGGTGATAACCGACAAAAATCAAATTGCTAATCACTTCAACGAACATTACTCTAGTATAGGTAAAAAAATGGCTGAAGCAATCCGCCAACGTCCAGAAACAAAAAATAATTATGCTAGGTCAAACGCAACAATTTTCCTGAAACCTACGGACCATAAGGAGATAGAATCAATCATTGTTGAATTGAAAAACAAAAAAGCAACTGGTATTGATGGTATCTCAAATGAAGTCCTCAAACTGACTAGCAAATATATCGCTAAACCTATATCACATATCATAAATTTGACGTTCGAAAAAGGGCTAGTTCCAAGACACTTCAAGAAGGCTGTAATCAAGCCTATCTATAAATCGGGTGGAAGATCTCAAGTCTCTAATTATAGACCAATCTCTTTGATCTCATCTATAGCAAAAATCTTTGAAAAAGCAGTCAATATTCGATTAACCAGTTTCCTAAATAAAAATAAAATAATATCGCAACATCAATATGGTTTCCAAGAAGGCAAATCAACGCAGGATGCTATTGCTGAGCTAACATCAATTGTCTATTCGGCTGTTGATAAAAAAAAATCATGTTTGGGTGTATTCGTGGATCTGGCGAAAGCCTTTGACACGGTAAGCCATGAGCTTCTGCTTGATAAACTGGACTGCCTCGGTATACGAGGGATAGCACATGACTTATTCTCTAGTAACCTGAGAGACAGGAGTCAAGTAGTAAAAATTGATGATACTTACAGTCACGAAGAGACAGTCATATATGGAGTCCCACAAGGTACAGTCCTAGGTCCTGTTTTATTTATTATATATTTGAATGATCTGCTTCAGCTGAATTCGAAAGGAGTAATATTATCCTTTGCAGATGATACTTCCATTATCTATGAGGGTAACTCTTGGGACGAAATAGAACAAACTGCTAAAGCAGACATTCAAATGATTTTTGATTGGTTCGATGAGAACAAACTGACAGTCAACGCTATGAAGACAAAAATTCTACCCTTCACATCTTACAAACCATTTCTGCCTAATTATGATACTATAAATATAAATAATCATGCAATTGAACTTGTACAATCAGTGAAATACCTAGGTATCTACATTGATTCCTTCTTAAGGTGGGATGTACAAGCTCGCAATATTGTGAACAAATTGAGAGGTATGATTCATAGATTCAAACAATTAGTTGGATTCCTAACATCACACCATCTCAAAACTATCTACTACGCATTCGTAGAATCCATTCTTCAATATGGTATTATAGGGTGGGGTGGTATTAGGAGAAATTATTTGCAACCAATCGATGTTATTCAAAAATGGATAATTAAAATCATACTCAAGAAACCTCGCAAGTATCCCTCAGACCAGTTATTCATGGATGCCAAGGTAATGGACATACGACAACTCTTCTGTTTCAGAGCTCTCTGTTTCCTTCACTCCAATAGGCATATTTCAAATAATATACCACATACCTACGGTACCAGGCAAAATATAGCATCTGCCATTTATGTACCTGCTACTCAGAAATCGCTTGGTCAAAGAAATTTCCGCTATACAGGTTCAAAATTGTTCAATAAATTACCCAATGACTTAAAACAACTTAACTCGGCTCGTCTATTCAAAGCCAAACTGAAAAATTGGATATTGTCTAATGATAGAACATTCTTCACCTATGTCATTGATCCAATCTAGAAAATATCTACTTCAGAAAAATGTTATAACTTTTATTTTCTTTCTTCTCATTGTTTCATTATTTACCTCTTTTGTACGTTTCGGAATCATCTTATATCAATTATCTTATTTTCTAATAAATAGTTAGGTAACAGTTACATAATGAAATCATATTTATAGTTTTAGTATTGATTATTTCTTCCATTTATTTCTCTACTATAGTCGAATGATTCAACTGAACACAAGACATATTCTCGATAGTAAACTTCAACAGATTGTTAATACCCGAAGACAAGTTCTTAAATGAACTTAGTCGGGTACTCTCTCCTGTTTATTTACTGCTATATTTCTTTCCATAACGAACTATTTAGTTTTCACTGTTTATTGCATGAACACTATCTGTAAAAATAATGTACTGTAACCTTCTGTGAATAAACATTCATTCATTCATTCATTTCATAAATTTATTCCATTTGTGTATACGTATATGTACTAACCCAATCTACTCGCAATCGTAACTTTTTACTCTAAACTTTTTTTTAATTATCTACCTTATTACATAACCTTTTACCATTTTATTTTTAATGTGTTACCTTAGATCCTAGTCTTATTTTATCTGATATTATTTTATATATATATACTTGTTTGTTTGTTAATATCGAAACAAGTGAATGATCACTTATCGATTACTACTTTGTTCAACCCTATTCTTTGTTATTCTATTACCATTTTTTATACGTATGTATACTGAATAAAGTTCTTATATCATTGAATGAGAGTCATCAATCTATGAAAATAATAATTGTATACTAGACACTAGATTTTCTTACTGTCTCAGAGAATGTGTTCAACAGGTCATATTTATTATCTCTCCGTCATCATGGAAGATTATTTAAAATTTTGCAGTAAATTAATGATAATTAATTTTCTGCTCTGACGAAAAAGACAAAAATGTTCCAATTCAGGTGTGATCGAGAATCGAATAACTACCTCAGATTCGTGGGTAGATATCGGACGACCTTTTTTTTTAAAGAATACCCGGCCAACTCCTCGAAGATGTTTTCAAGTGATAAAGTTTACTTGATCAATGTCTTGCTATAAAATGATATATAATTAAAGCTCATTACGTTGATCTGAAAGTTTTGTAACTCAATCTTTTTCGCTGAAACACATACGACATACGCCAACCATATATTAGAAGAAGACCATAGTTTTGATGATAATTTCGAAATTCTGCTCGTAGAAAATGAAGGACTGAAACTCAATCATTTTGAATCATTAGAAATCAACAAACTAAAAAATTCTGACATTTTACTCAATGATCAATTAGACCTTAATAGTTCACCAATAATATGTATTTGATATCAACTCTTTCAAGTTGATCCGGTAAACCGTAATTTAATGTAAATATTGTGCCTAATTTCCGAAAATGGAGGTTTATCGTACCTGTCCACAGGTAACTAATCCTTCAGGTTGGGAAGGTAAGATATATAAAAGTTAAGCGAGCCAACGTTAGTTTGGTTCATTGTACCAGTATATCACCTGACGAAGCTACTGTATAAGCGAAACATGTCGTGTGTTTAATGAATTTTGTGGAAATCTTACGTTTGTGAAGTTTTTACATTCTTCTGGAACTATGCCTGGTATAATTTATGACATTAGGCAGTTTCAAAAATTCTTTTAGCACTATTATTCTTTTCAACTATTTGGTATAGATACATTTTCCTGCTCTATAGCAGACGAATAAACGTGTCTGGTATATTTACTATAAAATAACATATATGACGTCACTTTCATTTTTCTCCCTAAGGAGAAAAAGTACTTTTCCTCCCTAGGGAGGAAAAGTACGACGTTGCTCCCTACATTGAGGCAAGGAAATGTATACTATGGATATATAGAGGTATGCGAAAAGTGATTTTCAGCACTAAAATGAGTGCAAAAAATAGATTT